CCAGGAACTAGGGGTGGGCACCACCTCTGAGCATGAGTAGGGTCCTGTGGGGCATGGCCATCAAGCGTGGCCATTAGGGGCGTGGCCATTGGGCACGTGGTTATCCGGGCATTTGGCCATGGGGGGCGTGGTCATCAGGGGAGGGGCCTCACCGCCATCTTTGACGTCAGTCCTCCTTCAGGGTGAGAGGTGAGCTTTCTCCTCAGGACCCACACGGCACAGCCAGGCTCTGGAAACTGTGGTTAACCCCTCAGGGAGGGTCCGAGCCCCCTTTTCTTCACAGCTACCTCAGGTGAACGCCTGGCTCGGGGACACTGGGGGTCATGTCTGTAGGGACGCCTGGAGCTCCCTTGTCCTCAGAGCTACCTCAGGGAGCCACCCTGCTTGGGGACACTGTGGGTCACTGTTAGACCAGGATGCAAAGAAAAGACCAGTGACTCCATTTAAAATCAAATGAATGCAAGCTGATCATTTCCACCAGCCGGGCTGCCTCTCCCACCCAAAACCGCGGGAAGAAGACACTCTCAGCTCCCTCGCAGCGGCTCCATAGCCCAGAAAGTTACACAAAGGGGGTCACAGATAACAACATTCGGACAGCAGGGCACAAAGGTAGTTCACATTTTGCTGGCCCTGACATCAGAATTTATGAAGGTCATTGGAGCCTCAGAGAGGGGCTTGATCTGGCCAGGGAAGGCCAGTTTCAGAGAGGGCTGCTGTCTGGTCAGAGAGCCAGGCAAGGGGGAGTCCAATGCACGGGCAGGCATTCCAAGCAGGTTCAGAATCTGCAGTAATTTACAGTGAAACCAAAATCAGCTTTTCCTGGCTTTGTGGCAAGAAGGTTCCCAATTTTAAGAGGGAATCAGGCTGGGTCTATTGTCATGTCTTTAGGGACCCCTGGAGCTCCCTTCTCCTCAGTGCAGCCTCAGGTGGATGCCAGCCTCCGGACACTGTGGGTCATGTCTCTAGGGATGCCTGGAGATCCCTTCTCCTCAGAGCTACCTCAGGGAGCCTCCTGGTTTGGGGACACTCTAAAAAGGCCTGGAGCTCCCTTTTCCTCAGCTGCCTCAGGGAGCCACCTGGCTCAGGGACACTCATGGGTCATGTCTCTAGGGATGCCTGGAGCTCTCTTGTTCTCAGAGTTGCCTGAGGGAGATCCACTAGAAGCTTCTGAAATGACCTGCAGCAGGTGTGGGAAATGTGGCATTGGTGAGGAGAGAGCCCCACCTTGGGACTGAGAGCTGAGGAGAGCCTGGCTGTGCACCCTGCTCCTTCACTATTTCATTCAGGCTGGCTCTGCAGCAGGCCTTAGGTTGTTACCCTCATCATCTTTTTACAAATAATTTACATTATGTATATATTGTCATAATTTAAAATAAAATTTAGATGTAGTTG